ACGGCAAAAGTGTTCCCTATAGAGAGGGTTCCTCCAAGGGAGGTTCTTTTATAGGTATAGAAACTTTAAAATATATTTCAAATCCGTTCCTCCAAAGGAGCTGTTCCCCCAAGAGAAGTTCCCCCAAGAGAGGTTGCACTGTATATACTTTAATGTCAATAAAATAATTGTTTGAAAACTTAATGTCCGGATTTGTATTTCAAAAACTCATAGAAAAATTGATTTTTATACGTTTTTAACGCATTCACAATGTTTTGTGTAATACTAAGTCCATCGATGGACCACTCGTTACGTTTGGCCAACACTTCCCAACACTCAGGCCTTGAGCCCCATATGACGGATGTCATTGACTGTAACATAAGGTGTAAACGCATAACCGGGGCATTTAGCACTTGGCCTCCACGATAGGTATATATTGTGCTGTTAATAATGTATTAAAAATTATAATTAAAATAAATCCAAACAAATAGAATACTATTACCTGACAAATAGATCGAGATCAAATATCTCGGCACCGATTCTGGACAGGCTATAGACATCCGCTTTGTTGTTATACTTATTAGTGGCCACTTCGGGCGCCCTATACCAGGGGGTGCCCACACATGGGGTGTGTTTGTGGTCTGTTTGAAGGTTTACGTACGGGTCGTGAACAGTGGCCAAACCAAAGTCACCCAATTTAATGAAACGCCGGCTATTATTACTACCACTCAATGGACTGGCAATCAGTATGTTTTCAGGTTTGAGATCCCGATGTATTATCTGCGGACTTCTCTGGTGTAAATAATCGACACATTCTAAGAGCTCTTTAAATATTTCACACGATATGTAATACTCGATGGCATTCATGGGTTCGGCCGCCGATTGTCTACCAAATGCTAGCCGTTTGTCGGCCAACACTTGCCGCAGACTTTGCGGACAATACTCCATCTGAATGTAGAGAAATTTGTTTTCAATCCATGAGTGGTAATACTGGACCACATATTCTGACCGCAAATCAGATAAACTTTTCACTTCTCTTAGCACTCGCTGTTTGTTATCATCGGAATCAGTGTCTATACATAAATATAATAAATATTAATTAATTTTTCTATCAAGATGATTAATGCGTTAATTAAATGAACTTACCAGGGTAATTTACCATTTTAATGGCATACACCTTGTTGTTTGATTTATGCGTAACTCTATGCACTTCGCCGAACCCACCTCTTCCAAGACGATTCAAATAGTAAAAATGGTCAGTGTAGATTTTATGCGATACAAAGATATAACCTGCAAAATATTTATTAATATGATTACATTGTTTAATATTATATCATAATTACCATCATTTAATCTCAATTGTATTCCAGGTGTTGTATTATTAGTTTTCATTTCAATATCATTTGATGTGCAAATTGTGCCATAGATTTGTGACGAATCAATCGTATTATAAGTTATTTGACATTCATTGGCGTAAAACTCGACAAAACTTTTATATCTTGTTTCGCATAATTTGTGATCGTTTGATATTTTATGTAATACATTGTTTATTAATACACAAATAAATTGGTTATTATTTATACCATTGAATGAATCAATTTTTTGTAATTTGTCATTAAATAGTATTTGCTTTGGATTTGTTGCAATCATTTCAGTGTTATTTTGGTTATAAGTACCACAAAAGTACAAATTATTTGTTGTGTGAAAATATGTACCAAATTGTGAACAAATGATTGTTTGCACATCACGTATGCTTAATATCAATTTCGGGTTAAATACTTTCTTATCTGTTATATTGTGTCCCAATCTATGGTTACTATTCTGACCCCAACTGAAGACATGTCCGTCGGATGTGATGGCAAACGAAGAGTCGTTATAACAATAAATGGATTTTATTTTATAATTAAAACTAAACATCATCTCAATCGGTGTATTAGTAAATCCAATCTGGTCTCCACAACCAATCTGTCCGTAATAGTTGTTACCCCAGGCATACACCCGGCCATCACTCGTGAGGGCCATTGTGTGTGAATAATCACAACTGATTTGAATAATATTTTTGTCATTAAAAAACACTATTATGGCTGGTTTTATATATTCGGTGTGATTATCACCCTGAGCCAATTGTCCAAATCCACGATTGCCCCAACTAAATATGTTATTCACGGCATTTACTGCCAACACATAATTATATCCGTTGACAAAGTATTGTATGTTTTGATGACATAATTCTTGTATTATTTGTGGTGATAGTATTGGTCTGTTGTGTCCAAAACCCAGACATCCATTGCTATTATGACCAAAACCATAGACCATGTCATTGTCTGTGACCAATAATACATTTGACTTCTTGGTCCAATCATTAAACACATATAATTTTATGATTTTATCTTTAATATTTAGCGGGATTTGATCACAAATTACAAACTTATTTAACAATTTACTCATTATTTATAAAATAATTAAAATAATAATTAAGAAAATTAGTACTTATAGTTAAAGGTTTATAAATAATTATCGACAAAAACATTTTATTAATTAAATAAAGACAACATTATATGTACAACATTATTGAGAAAATGATTTTTGTGTCGTTGATAGCACATTGAAAACAGACTTTATAGCAATTTTTGCAAACCATTATCAAAACGTAAAGTTTGCTAAAAAATATTAACTTTTATATATAATTGAGTGCATATTTCAACAGTGATAATGGGATTAAAATTAATGTTAAATTTATACATGGATTATAGTAGTTGAAAATTATTAACTGGATTATCATCGACAATTGAAATATTTGATAAAGTTTCTCAATAATTCACTCATAATTTATCAATTATAGCAATTAATAACTTAAATATATTAATTGCAACTAAAATATAATAAATAATTTTAAACATAATAAATATAAATAATTAGATAAAATTTATTTAACATGTACGCAACTTTATTTAAAACACTATACATATAAATGATTATTTCTTAAAATAAGAGTTATACTTAAAAAAACCACCTTGTATAACAATTCTCTAGAATAATAATAACTATAGATAAGTTTTAGGAAAAATCCAAAACTTTTAATATAAATTTAATTTATTTATAACTAGTGATAATGGGATTTAAATAAGAAATTCTTGAAATCATTATAAATAGCGCGTGATTTCTATTATATTACTTATACATTAATTTTAAGGTATTGATTGGTTTAAAGTTTAATTAATTCATGAATTATGATAATGTTGATAAATTAAACATTTCTAATATGTTGTTTTAAATAAAATAATACTTTGATAATATTCAATTTTATTTCTAAATTTATTTTAAATTCTTAATTATAAATCACTATTTAATTTACCATATTGAACAAAATAATCACAAAATATTTCATAAGATTCATCCGCTTTATAATTAACTGACGAAACGCTATAAATAATGATAGCAAATGCTGTGGAAAGTAGCACTAAGGTATATGTCCAAATGACCATGATCACCGGCGCCAACGGCACAAATAGAGTTATGTATAAATCAATGATAATAGTGTTGCCAAATAAAAACCACACGGTTAGAAAAAATTTGCCCCAATATGTAGTGTTATATTCACTGATCTCATAATAA